TTTGGATGAGTGGTTCAGATTTTCTATCTCAATCTTTAAATACTTTACTTATATATTAAAATATGAAATTAAACTTTATTTCTAAAACTAAATGTTATTCTTGAAATTGGTAACCATCAAATGAATAAAGTAACAAAAAAAAGTAGAGATGATTCAAAGTTTAATATTACCATTATTTTAACAAGTGTGTCCAGATGCAATTCGTGCATGCCGACCCGCATTCTTATTTTCTAATATTAAATATTTCATTTTAGAGAAATATATCATTTTTTGTATTGACTGTTGTACATGATATTATAATTTATGTAATAAAAAAAATATGAAAATAAATTTTGATATTATTAAAACCTATGTTAAAAATTATATTGGTGACTTGATATTTTTTATATATGTAACCTATATTAAAACCTATAATTTTGATATTTCTTTTATTGTGTGGTAAACATTGTAATAATAGTTAATTAGAAGGGCAAAATAGACAATGAAAAATTATATCATGTAGGTGGTTATTAGAGGTTTTGCCTTTATATATAGTATATATAGTATAGTTGTAATAATAGTTAATTAGAAGGGCAAAATAGGCAATGAAAAATTATATCATATAAGTAGTTATTAGAGGTTTTGCCTTTATATATAGTATAGAAGTATAGTTGTAATAATAGTTAATTAGAAGGGCAAAATAGGCAATGAAAAATTATATCATATAAGTAGTTATTAGAGGTTTTGCCTTTATATATAGTATAGATTATCAAACATTTCCTCACATATTTGACTAATTTTTTTAGAATGTAGATAAATATATTTATACAAAGAGAGCATAGATATTATACTTCTTTATTAATCAGTGTTTTGGAATTGTTTTGGATGAGTGATTCAAATTTTCTATCTCAATCATTAAATACTTTACTTATATATTAAAATATTAAATTAAACTATTTCTAAAATTAAATGTTATTCATGAAATTTGTAACCATCAAATGAACAAAATAACAAAAGATATTAGAGAGGATTCAAAGTTTAACATAACCATTATTTGAATTATCATACATTTCCTCACATATTAGACTAATATTTTTATAATATACAAATGATTGATAAACATATTTATACTAAGAGCACATAGATATTATATTCCTTTATTAATTAGTGTTTTGGATGAGTGTCAATCATTAAATACTTTACTTATATATTAAAATATGAAATTAAACTTTATTTATAAAATTAAATGCAATTTATGACATTGGTGACCCTCAAATGAATAAAATAACAAATAATAGTATAGAGGATTCAAAGTTTAATATCATCATTATTTTATTTATCAAATATTTCATTACATATTAGACTAGTTTTTTTAGAATGTACAAATTAAATGAATATTTATAGTGATCGTGTATAGATATTACATTCTCTTGTTAATTATTTTTTTGGAATTATTTTGGATGAGTAGTTTAGATTTTCTATCTCAATTATTAAATACTTTACTATATATTAAAATGTGAAATTAAACTTTATTTCTAAAATTAAATGTTATTTATGAAATTGGTGACGATAGAATGAATAAAGTAACAAAACATAATATAGAGGATTCAATGTTTAATATCATCATTATTTTAATTATCAAGCCCTCATATATTAGTCTAATTTTTGTAGACTATCATTAATTTATATTATTTTTTGAAGAAACAATAATGATTAAACATAAAAGATAAATGATGTCTTGATAGAATATAAAATCCATTTTTTCGATTTTTTTTCCTTTTATTTTATTGAAGTACACCTACCCCACTTGTCAAGATGCATATAGAATACCTTTTCTTGTAACACTTATCACACATGCACATACAACAAATGTCAATTTTTAGGATAAAACCATAGGCTAACCCTGGTGTATTATGCAAATCAAAACACCAGGGTTCTATGTTTTTCCTTTCTTTGAAAATGTATTAGTAATTGTAATTGATTATTTTTATTTCCTTGGAGAATAAATTTTAATTAATATAGGAACAGGCACCACAAACTAATGTTTGGGTGAGTGTAAGGGTTGGGATGATGAATCATAGCAGGAGGTATGGTTTGCTCCTGTGATTCAATGCTTCAGATGGTATTTTCGTGTGAGAAATAGGAATCTATTTTAGTTTCTACCACTCAACATATTGTGTTGAGTTGATTTTTTCTTTTCAAACATTATTTTCTGGTCAAAATTAAATCAACCTAATCCAATTAAATGACTTAATCAAGATACAAAATCAAAACCAAGACAATCCAAGATTTATATAGATAAGCCAAATTTGATTATATATGAGTAAAGTGGTATTTAACATTTTGGAAGATTGTGGGATAAGTAACTTTTATTTAAGAAAAAGGTAAATCATTATTAGGGGAGTAATGTATTTAATATATTAAGATGTTGATTTTTAGAAAGAAATAAAAAAGGGTTTACACCTTTACTTTTTCAGGTTATTTAGTAAAGGAAGTGGAAAAGTATTTTTAGTTTTTCTTACAAATAGAGAGATATTGAAGTGAGTTCTTTCTTGTGATACTTTTTTCATACATGCGATCAATATATTAAACAGAATACATCATAATTAAATAAGAAAATAAAAATTATGCACAAAAAATGTAAGAATTTTGTACGCGGTACTCTATCTGATTCATATTTAATTACTATTGATTATTCAAAAAAAATCAAATGAATGTTGAACGATATAATAACCGTATATAAATATTTACACCGATAATACATAGATATTACACACAATAAAAAAAATATGGACTCACAATATATGATTTTTATACACTCACATTGTATCATATATTATTCATATTTAATTAACATTAAATCAAATAAAACAATCCAAACAAAAGATATAGTAATTAAGTTTAAATATTTATACTAATATAACGTAAATATTACATTTGTTTTGGATTGATTTTAAGCAAAAGTGATATCTTATTCAATTTGATTTGATCAAAGTATACATCCGATCCAACCTAATTCAAAAATTATTTGTTCTTGTGATTCGATTTGGTTTTTCATATTTTAGAATTTATTTTTGCATTTTAAAATAAAAATTAACAGGATAAGTTAATGTGTTAAATTTATATTTTAAATAGCTAAAAGAATATAGTATTATCAATTGTTCAATTATAGAAATAATATATAAAACAATATTATAAAAAAATAAATTAACAATATAAAAAAACATAAATTGAAGTAAATAAAAAAAATATAGCAAAATAAATCGAAAAATACTGTAAACCTCTCCACATCATTTCTTTGTTTTTAATTATTGAAAGCCAATAAAAACACAACGATATGATGATTATTGTATTTTACATATCATAGGCAATAGATAATTGACATGGCAATGTTACCTTAAAGCTAGTTATCATTCAAGATATATTTTTCTAGGCATCTAAGATAAAATAGCACGAAATCTGATGTCTTCATTGAGTGACTACTGTCTTCTATGTTGGGCTCATAGTCATAAGATATCTTCACATTCACCAACGTTTGATTCTCTCCTATTGCAGATAGTTGAAAACTTGTCTTGTAATATGACAAACCTTGATTCAGATGGCCCCCTTCAACTACTTGCAACCCAATTTCATGTGTAATTTCATTAAGCTCTACAATCTTCTCCCTCTGATAACTTATTGGGGTCACATCTGAGATAGATTCATTCTCAAAAATGAATTTCATTAGTATACTTAAACAATAAATCAAAAAATGTGTAAAATAAATAAAAAAATCAAGATGAGAAAGAGGTTAAACTAAACTAACCAGGGTTAAAAGTAAAGTGGAGGATTGAACCAATTCCTCCATCACCTTCTATCAATTTTACATCTTTCACAATGTTTGGGATAACCTTTTGAGTTATGAATAAATCCTTGGATATAGCTTCCCAAAGGTCTTCCAACCTCACATTGAGCTCTGCTCTAGTGTTCAATTCCTTCATAGTGTATGTTCAATTTGTGTTTCTATGGAGCAGCATGATATATACGTATATATAGCAGTGATATTGGAGGGTTTGTTTTTTTGTTGTTGCTGTTTTTTATGATTTTGTATTTTGTATTGTTTTTATATAACACGTGTAGGCAAATCAGATAAGTTTTTTTTATAGGGCAATACACAATTGTGATGTTGACATGTGGCAAAAATGAGATTTAAATGATCCAAATTTTTTCATTTTTTTCTAAATTAAACTTTTAAAAAATTCACCTCTCACATACCGGTACCGGAGAGTCAAGTGCCGGAGAGGAATCTTATCTAGTTTTTTATGATGTTTTTTTTATAGTTGTAATTGTTACATTGGGCAAATAGATAAGGTGTTTATCCACAAACAGACTTATTGTTGTATGCAATTGCTGGCTTTTAGCTCTCTCTTTTCATAAAAATATTATTTTGTAAAAAAAGTTTTATCTCCTTAGACGTTTTTTAAACTTATTCCATATCATGTTCATCAATTCTAGGGAAATCTAATGGTTTAAACCATTGAATTTTCCTGGAATTGATGATAAAGATGTGGAGTCTTGGAGTAAATGGATTCCTCCTCCACATATATAATAGCATTTTTTCATGAATTCTTCATTTTTGTTGTTTTACATATTGATTTTAAGGATGCTATTATTTACATTCTAAAAATGTCTACTCATCCATTAACTATAAATTTGATAAAAAAACAAAAAACATGATTGATTAATTGAGTGTGTAGATAGACACTTTAAAATATCAATAGACCTCACTCTATTTATAAATATAAATTCAAATCTTATTAGTCAATTTTATTCAATTATTTCATTTTAAAGGAAAATTGTCTTGCAGTATGACAAAACCTTGATTCACGTGGTTTCCTTCAATGACTTGCATGAAGCCCATACTCATCATTAACCTCGTAGAGTTCTACAACTTCAACAGGTAACTAATGCTTTGTTCAGGTCAGAAGGAAAAAGTGAGAATAAAGAATTAAGTGAGAGAAAAAAGTTAGAAAATAGTGGAGTTTTTATATTGTTAATTATTTATCTAATTTAATAATTTATAATGTATTATATATTTGAGATGTGATATACTTACTAAGTTTTTCAAATTTATTTCATAGGTAAGCCATCAATTTTAGGAAATCTAATGGTTTACATCTATTCATTAATTTAAACTATTAAATTTCCATATAATTATGTGTATATATATTTTAATAAATACTATTTTTATTGTTGATTATTTTTATTCAATCATAAAAGTTGAACTATGAAATCTGATTATCATAGAAATATGTAGTATTGTGGCAAAATTCTATATTGTGAATATATCAAGCAAGTAAATTTTTATTGTGAGATACTTATGGTGTAAAAAAGTCACACCCCTCTTCTATTTTTTCCTCATACAAGAAGAAAAACAAATTTAGAGGGTCTCATCACACTTTTGCTTCTATCTTCTCATTCTTCCTTCTTAACATTCTAAATAGAGGCACACTCTCTTGAACTTCTCTTTGCTTCTTCTCTTTTTACTATCTTTCTCCTAAACCAAAGACAACCTAAATGAACATGAGTTTGACTCATTTCCTGTATTGAAGAGGTCAATCCAACTTTAAGATCATTACACGTGTCCTAAACTCAAGTGAATGGTTGAGATTTTAAATGAGAATTTATTTAAAGTTTAATTACATAAAAATAGAAACAGAGAAGGAAAAAAGGGTGTGAAGTAGGTAAAGTTCATCTGAACCGTTTAGGAAGAGGGAGAACGAAAACAATGTCAGATCCTTCCTCCATATGCACCTCACCTTCCTCCCTTTGAAGGTATTTATCTATTTTCATCTCTTCATTATGAAATAGATTCCTCTCCAGTACTGGAGAGTACAGGGAAAATGTGAGTGGAGTTAACTTTTCAAAATATTTAATTTAAAAAAATTTAAAAATCTATACAGTTGAAATTTCAATTTTAACACGTGTCATGATCTCATCTATGTACTGGCCTCTCCTGTAATGGAGAGGAGCCAGACTCCTTCATTATGTATGAAGCTAATTATGTTTCTCATACATATGAGACACATTACCGAAAATGAAATTTGTTGGTAGTCTTGGGAAAATTAGAAAACGTCTATAATAATAACAATACAATAAATAACATGAGGGAGAAGATAAACTTGCAACCACCCCTGTAAGATTAGAAAGGGGGTAAACTAAACTAACTAAAAACCCTCTGACTTTCTGCACTAAATTCCCCAGCAGCTCTTTGTTTCCAACTAAGCCGATGTAGGAAAAGGTATGTTCCAAAAAAAATCATCGACATGTCCCGAACCAATCATATTATATTAAGTAATAAAAACACATTATTTTCTATACATAATAGCCCTCTGACTTTCTGAACATTTATTGCACATCGATCGCTAGTTCCAAATATCAACCTGCATCTACAGTTGGATGACTTCTCTAGTCGACAAATTCAAACTCCAAAACATATATTTCTACAACATTAATTGGGCAAGCTTAAGGTCCACCTTTCCAACTCATATCTATAAATCAAATTTAAAAACATATATAGTTCTAGCTCATGAAACCAAGCCACAACTCTTATATATGCCAGTCCATTCACTGCTGTTCTAGTTGACTAAAAACTCACGTGTGTGGAATGTGTCCTTTAATAATTTAGGAAGCACATACACTACATCATACAAACATACTAACAGTATTCAATATTTAAAAACAATTAATTACTTGATATTTTGAAGTATCAGAACTACATAATTAATAGTACTTCTCTAACTATACATAAGCCTATTGTGTGTTTTTCCATACGAAGTGTTCATACACTTTTTTAGTATGGGTGTTTGATAAAAGATAAACGAGATAAATTATATTGTTTACTAATTAAACAGCTGGCATTTTACTTATAATAACATGTTGATTGGATAAGATTGTAAAATATGTTAATTACGAACTATCCCTTCAAAAGAACCCAGCAATACATCAAGAAGGAGTGGTTATCTGGAAAAAACCTCTCCAGTACAAGTTTTGTTAATGCCGATCGAACAAGCACCTATTTCTTGAGAAAATACAAGTTAAGCCCAATAAGTTGGTTAAGGATGAATAATAAACATGGTACCAAACATGAGAGTATGAGACACAAGAAAGAATGAACATACACTTGAATATTTTCTCAACTGATATTTACAATAGGACAGTAGCATGCTCAAATATTAAAAAACCCTCAAATCTAAATATCTATGTATATTGAATATATATCTTTGATCTCATTGTTAAAAATTTATCATCTATAAGACTTGAGCATAGCACCACAAAAAGTGCACATAATAGCCTTCCAAGATTTCCAATAAAAAGGAACACAACAAAATCTTGTTTGTGTCATCATGTCTGCCACACTAGCACCGCCGCCGCACCGTGAGCATGACCCCGCCACCGGCTTACACCGCTTCACCTTCCTCCTCTGATCCACCAGAAAACAGAAGAAAACCATTGATCTCTCTCAACAAATCTCCAACGTTGTTCCAATGATGTTTTTTTTTCTTCCTGTTTTGAAGGTTAACTTATGATTTGGATTTCTTTAATCAGTTAATGTTACACAGGGGACAGAGGAGACATTTATACTGAGATGGGAATGAAGGTTATAAAAGGTCGAACTTTTTTTTGGTTGGAAATGGACCGTTTGATGAGTGACGCGTGTCCAGATGAAGTGGTTGACCTGGACACGTTTTGAGTGATCACTGGATAAAAACCTCGCTGTTCGCATCATGTTATTTGTGCAGGAGACCTGACCATGCTATAATTAATCACTATGAGGGCATGGATGGTTGCCATGTGTAGGGCACAGATGAAGGTTGTCATGGGCTTATATCTCTGGTTGAGGAGACAATCAAGCTATCAAATTGGGTATTAGTTGGAAAGGTGATTTGTTATTTAACTCAATTATCTTGGTTTATGAATCAAATAATCTGGACATGAAATTAAACTTTTGGAGTATTTTTTAAAAATAAATTAATTGTTTGAGTTATCCAAATGAACAAATTCAAACTGAACCGAATAGTTCACGAAATTTAACCGAACCGAACTTGAACTGAAAAAATAACTCATATCGAATTCGAGTCGAGTTTCGAGCTGAGCAAATCATTATCGAGTTGAGCTCTAATTCGGCTCGTTTATAGCATAGGTATATATATATATATTTATTAAATTAATATATTGTTATTAGTCATTTGTTGAATATGTAAATTACTATTAACTGTTATGCTCATTCTGTGTAAGTTAATTTGTTGTTGCTTAAGCTACAGATTTAGAAGATTTGGGTGAAGCAGTTGGTAGGCCTCATAAATAGTAGTAAGAGGCTGCGTTGGGATGGGAAGGGAATGGGTGGGTGTGTGGGTAATATCTTGCGCGTGTCTTCTCAGCCATTACCACCTAATAGAAATTAAAGTTTGGTAGTCATTTGTTAAATAAAAGATATGAAGAAAGGTGTTTTTGGTTGGAGATTATAGCTTGCTTTAGTTATATATCATTATATTGATTCATTGAAATCAGGCCAAAGTCCAAAGTGTTCTTCTAATTAAAATGTTTAATACTTGAATTCCTCTTATCTGATATTCATTTTTTACATTTTCTTTCAATACACCATCATTGGATTCAACAGAAAACATCATGGTAATTATCAGTAAATCGTGCTAAGGAAAATTATTAGGTTGGTCCGTTGGTTTGAAAAATCAATTTAGTCCATACTTTTAATTAATAATGGATTTGAAGGAATTTCTTTCAATTGTTTTTAATTCACAAATTGTAGAAAATTTGATTGAATGACATGTCAGCATTCATTTTTTCCATCAAAACTATATATTTATATTATTTAATGATTGATTTGATAGCTGAATAAGAGTATAATTGATGGGAGAAATTAGCATTTATATTTTTTTAGAGACTTAGAATGAGCGAAGGTGCTCCAATTAACTCCGTTCTTTATGTGAGTGAGTCCTTTCTCCAATTAATTCCGTTCTTTATTTGATTTGTTTAAAATATCTAACTAATAGTTTTTTTATTTCACTAGCCAACTCTACCCTTGAAGTCTTGACTCAACTTTATAATTACTTTAATAGGCAGTAATACACTTTAATAAGGTTGGAATACATGTATATATTTGGGACGTTTTCTCTTCCTATTTTATTTAATTCAAGATAAGATTTCATAGACTTTAGTCCCGGTGAATATGATAGCAATATGGCAATAACAGTGCAAAAGATAAGATTTCAAGGATAGCAATATGGCAATAACAGTGCAATGCATTGTTATGATATCTATTTCGAAATGAAGCACAAATGATGCTAAATTTATAAAGTTAATTTATATTCTTTCCTAGAATGGAAATGCAAGAAGGAATATTTAATTTGTGTAGTTTCTGGATAATGATTCCCTTAGATGATAATTACAAGAATGGTCCACGGAATTTAGCCAGGAAGAAGGCTAGTGTCACCTCCGAGTCGTGAATGAGGTCAACTTTGATCACTATTTGTGTTGATCTCTATTTGTGTCACCTCCTAGTCGTGGAAAATGGATGGGGATTACATGTTGTTAGGTTTCATATGGTGATAGAACTAATAATTGAGCATATGAGGAGATTGTGTTAGATAAACAAAACATATATTTGATTGATCAATAATCGGAGAAACATTTTGGTGGGTTGAAGGGCCTAAATTTCATATATAGTATATCACCCTTCATTACCACACACATTACAATTAACTTCACAAGTCTTATTTATAGGACTATTGTCAATACATTAAGAATCTCATGAAGGTTATAGACTATACATGTAATATCTATCATAATGTAATTTATCTAGAACTCTCTAGACACAAGCTCAATATTATGTATTGTCACATTCTTATAGAACTCTCTAGAAAGTTGTGGCACATTTCAACGCAAATTCTTATAGAACTCTCTAGAAAGTTGTGGCACATTTCAAACACATGTCTTAACACTTAATGTTTCTAACCCTATCTTACCCAATATTATAGTGTTATGTAATGCTTTATTCTGTTTTAGTAAAGGGAAGGAAATGTCACATAGGAATGTATATTATTTTACTGGCATAATGAGCTGAAATTTCTAAATAACATGACACTATTTTATTAGGTGAAACAAGGGACACAAAATTGATATAATAAAATGATACCCGGGCTTTACTCAAATATCTCAATACCCTCTTTCAGATTAAACCAAAGCTGGCCTACAGGTGAAAACTTAAAAGGTCAAGAAACAATATTCTTAAGCAAAAGTACTCTAACGTTTATTCTTGTGAATAAAAAAATAATTGAGGAAAAACTCTATATCTAACTTCACTTGTTTGTTGAAGTCCAATATAATTTTAAGATATCAAAATCTAATATCTCATGGAAAGAGTAACCAGGTGAATGAAAATTTCAGTTAGTAAAATTTGCGTGTATATATATACACAATCTATCTCACAAATGGATAGACTGTTTTTAAGAACCCAAAGTCTTACTATTAAGAAACAAAAAAAAGAAAAATATAAAACCTAATTAATTTCTAAATATGCCCTTGTGTATGTATGTTTTTCCTGTAGTGATGGTCTATTCTTGATGGTGTCCAATATCCAAATAACAACACAGCATTCAAGAACATATTTTGTGCCAATTACAATAACAGCTATTTACATATCTGTCAGAAAGAGATGTATCCAAAACAGTCTCAATGTTTAGTTGAAGTTTTTTGTCACGTCTTCCAGCATGATCTACCCCTACAGCTCCAACCAAAGTGTATAGTACAGGTGTGTTGGATTACTTGTTCTTTAGGAGAACTCAGTACTTGGCATGCATATGATACAACAAGTCTAGTACATGATACATAGGGGTGAAAACGCTGATAAGTAATAACTATGATCCCAGTCTATATGGTACTACTTTCCTCTATTCGTGATATATTATTCCATGTTACTTCTTCAAGCTTCTAGAATTGATAATAATTAAAGTTGGAACATTTCAAGAATTTCATTCTACTATTTGAAATTCTCTGTTATTAACAAATTCTTTTGATATTTTCTGGCAATGTCTTCAAGAAATTTGCTGCGTGCATGCCAACTTTATTAGGTAAGGTGAAAGTGTCCGAGTTTCTGCAGATGAGGCATATATACTTGAATTATCTATGTGAGTTCAGAGTTGGATCACATGTATATATTGGAATATAGTAATGAAAAGAATGGGTAATTTATCCTGAGATATAGGGTTAACTGTATCATTTTATTTAATCAAGACCTGACACGCACTTTATCACTTTATTCATTTTATTTAATCAACTGAGTTAGCTTTAGGGTGATAAAATAGACTGTCATATAATATTAGGTTATACAAGCTAAAATCCAATTACAAATGTTGTAATTTAATCTGAGCTTAATATATAGTTGCTGATGTAGATGTACTAACCACAAATACAATCAATATTTCTTCTTGCATGAATAGAGTTCAACAGTATATTATCTACACAGTTCTTCATCTTCCATCTGAATATTTGTATATAGAGAGAGCACCCTCATCTTTTTATTTTTTACATACAAAGAAAGCTAGCAAATATAAATATCTATATATGTATAAAGCTAAATATACTATACTTTTAAATAAAAATACCATGCATGGTCTCACCTAAATCATGTGTGTTATTGCTTCTAGCGATACCTTCAAATGGTTTAAGGAATGTGATGCATCCATTTGATTAGACCAACTTGCTTCCAGTTCCTTAACAAAAATCTTAATAGCCCATTAAAATATTCACAGTCTAATTAGCAAGAGAATGTGGCACCAGCCTAGGATTCCTTCCACCCTCTTAGTTCAATAATATTTACATCAATAATGCAGTCATAATATACACTCCAATGAAACATGGAAATGAGTTATTAACCATACCAATTCATCCCTTGTATTTGATATGGTGTCCGAAGTAGGCCATCTCCTATAGTCCTCTGCATTATCTCTTGTTGGTGCAATGGATTAGGTGTTTGTTGTGGGAGATGGCTAAACAGGGTGGCTATAGAGCTAGTAGCAGTTCCATTCTCTTCATTCCTCATTGCAACATTGCCATCCCCAGCTGCACTGTCCATAAAGTTGAACCTTTTGTTAGATAATGAAGTGCCAGCAGTCACATTTTCAGTATGGTCATTCCAATACAAAGATGAAAGGGTTCTTTTGGAGTTTGAGGTTTCCAAATGTGATGATATGGCATTTGTAGTTGTTGTTGTGCTCAACCCACCATTTCCTAACATCAACCCTTCCAACAAATTTTGGTCATTTTCCAACAATGCACCATTACTACTACCACTGTAGCTTGTGGACATCTTTGAAAGGTGAAACCTAGCATTCATGAGGTCCACGTTGATAGATGAAGGTACCCCTCCAATAATTTCATCCATGGAATCATCCCTGTCATGCTCCATGGCTGACCTATGTGTATTGCTCTTCTTGTAGATTCTGCACAATACCCAATCATCCAGCTACACAAACACAATATGATCGTCATCACCCCATTAATAAAAAAAATTGCAAAACCAAATTCAGGAATTAGTCTCATAGAAAACCATATGAATTTTTAAATTAAAAAGGACACGGTTTTAAATT